AAATTGGAGTTGGGTAAGGCTAGACCGATAACTGTGACTTTACAATTGGCAGATAGAAGCTTGGCTTATCCATATGGTATTATTGAAGATGTTCTTGTAAAGGTGGATAAATTCATTTTTCCATTTGACTTCATTGTCCTTGATTGTGAGGTGTATTGTGACATTCCTATTATCTTAGGAAGACCATTCTTAGCAACCGTTAGAACCTTAATTGATGTTGAAAAGGGTGAGCTTACTATACGGGTTGATGATGAGCAAGTCCCTTTTAATATGCACAAGTTGATGAAGTCTCCTAATGATCTTGAGCAATGCTTTTTTGTTGATATGCTTGATTAAGTTGCACAAAAAGAATTGAATGAGGCAATTCCTAATGATTTTTTGGAAGCCTTGTTGTTATGAGCTCAAATAAAGACTCAAGATGGAGAATAGTGTATGGCTATCATAAATGCATCACTAGTTTATTCTAGAAACCGTGTCTAATTTGAATCTCTAGATTTATCTTTTCTTGATAGACCATCTTTAAAATCCTCTATTGAAGAGCCACCATCTCTTGAATTGAAGACATTACCTTCTCATATTTGGTATATCTATTTAGGATCCAATAACACCTTGCCAATAATTATTGCTACGGACTTGAATGTACAACAAGAAGAGCAACTTGTAAAAGTCTTAAAAGCTCATAAAAGAGCTATTGGATAGACTATTGCCAATATAAAGGGTATTAGCCCTTAATTTACATGCCTAAGATTTTTCTTGAAGATAATTATAAAGCTTCCATTGAACATCAAAGAAGATTGAATCCTATTATGAAGGAAGTTGTGAAGAAGAAAATCTTAAAATGGCTTGATACTAGCATTGTCTATCCTATCTTTGATAGCTCTTGGGTGAGCCCAGTTCAATGCGTTCCATAAAAAGGAGGCATGATTATAGTGGCTAACACCCACAATGAGCTAATTCCTACCCATATTGTTATTGGATGGAAAGTATGTATGGATTACCGAAAGCTAAATGCGGCCACAGGGAAAGATCACTTTCCTCTTCCCTTTATCGACTAAATGCTTGGCAAATTAGCTAGAAGGGAATTCTTTTGCTTTTTGGATGGATATTCTGGCTATAATCAAATTGTCATTGCTCCAAAGGATTAAGAAAAAATAATATTCACTTGTCCTTATGGAACTTTCACTTTCAAGTGTATGCCTTTTGGGTTATAAAATGCATTGGCTACTTTCCAGAGGTGTATGATGGCAATTTTCTTTGATATGATTGAGCACAATATGGAAGTCTTCATGGATGACTTCTGTAATACCCTCAAAAATACAAACCGATTTTTCGCAAATTATTAAAACCATTATCATGGTAGAAAATTTTCTTACCATGATACATCCAAGACATAACACAAGTCTTAAAATATCCAAAAAGGCAATTAAAACCATAAGGGACAAACATAATCCTCATGGCATGATATTCAAATCAGATCATAAATCAAGAGGGACAGACATAATCCTCTTGATCATATAAATGCTTTTAATAAAAAGGATTAGAGTTTACATGCTTCACAAAGAAGATATGTCCTAAGTTGGCACAAGATACATTGTATAATCTAAAATAAGAGGCAACGTAAAAGATGGTGTCTCATACGCTATAGTTACACCTCTGGTGCTTTCTCGGCCAGACTCGCTCCTGTAAAAATATTAACCATGGGGAATGAGACTTAAAAGTCCCAGTAACCAAAAATTAATATGTAATGATGCATGCGGTTGTAACTAATCATGCGATTGCTAAGTGGGCACACAAAACATTTAACAGAACCATATTTTCAAACAAACCGAACAAGTATTAATTTGCATGACTGCACCTTATATCCTCCTTTCGCCATGCTTGGATGCCAAATCACCCGGCCAAAGGTGAGTTGGACCAAGCGACACGCCATTCATTGGGTCCAATGAGGGCTTACCACGTGATAATAATTAACCAAACAGAAATTCTCTTTAATACTATACATTAAAATACCCTGACAAGTCATGCATCATTCAAATATCCAAACAGAAATATATCCGAACAATAATATCTCATCATGATAAACAAAAATAAATTTTTTAACCCACTTGGCAATAATTTCAAACAAATATATACAGTATTTATTTTTAATAATTTATAATTTTTCCAAACAATAAAACAACACATAACCATTCACAAACACACCCATCACAACACATTAATAATGGTTACCTTGTGTCTTAAATAACAAGTTTCCCTTCACAACTCCTTTTTCACCACTATCTTTGTCAATATAATCTACATAATTATTTTACAATATTATATATTAATTTTACATTAAAATAAATAACTCTAATTTAAAGAGTTAGAAAGTCTTAGATCTATAATCCATATTAACACTAATTTAAGATTTATGCCTCATTTAACTTCCTAAATTCTTTTCTAAAATTCTCGTACCCTAATAAACTATTTTTAAGCCTCAAATCACTTCTAGTATCACAATTTCATCCATTTATATTCTAAAAATTCATCCAAAAATAAATTAAAAATTTTAAAAATTAACTTAAAGCCTCAAATCACCTTTCTATAGCCTCAAAAATACCTATTCATACTTAAATAAATATTTAATAATCAGAGGTTCATCCCTACATCTCAGATTCCACATAAATTCAACCATATAGATCTAGAGTTTAACTCAAAATTGTTAAACATGAGTTTCAACCTCAAGAAAATATTCTATAATATTTATTATATTCCTAAGAGTTTTAACCTATATTATTAATTCATCATATCATTAGATTAACTATCCTATAGAAAAATCCTAATCAGAATATTTACTCTATCCTACAAAATAATCATATCACTAGAAAGCTAATATTATTTAGAAAATAACTATAAAATTAATTTTGTAATTAAATAAATTTTTAAATGCTAATCTAAACAGGAAAGTTAGAGCATACCTGAAGAAAAAGAAAATAATCCCCCTTTGCGAGAAAACGCCGAGCAATGTGAAGGAGGAAGAGAGAAAAATAATATAAAAATGGGATTGTGGGTCCCAAAATTATATAAAAAAAACTATAGGTTTGAATTTAATTATTCAAACCTTTGGGCCATTACTTGCAATTTTCACAAATTGCATAAACTTTCTTTTTGCCTTCCTCTGCACGCTCTCACTTTCTTTTATATGTGAGGAATCCTTTCCTCATCCCACATCTAACCGATGTGGGACTAAACTTTTTTTTTTCATTCTTCTTTTTTTCCCACATTCACACATAATTTATATATATATATATATATATTAAATCTTAAAATTATATCTTAACTAAATATTTCTTATGTAATTTTAAACTTAAGTTTTTAATTCATAATTAAATGCCTAACCATATTATTATTTTCAAATAATCTCAAATAATATAAATTTCTATTATTATCATCATTTTTTTAATAAAACTTAAATTCCATAAATTTTTTTTATCTAAAAATTAGGATGTTACAACTTCACGATTTTTAGGGATTCTTATAATAAGTACTTGATCAACTTGGCCAATGTGTTGAAAGATGTGAAGAGGCTAACTCGGTCTTGAATTGGGAAAAATGCCACTTCATGGTTAAGGAGGGCATAGTTCTTGGCCATAGAGTTTCTAAAAATGGCTTAGAAGTTGACAAGGCAAAAATTTCTGTGATTGAATAACTTCCTCCACCTATTAATATCAAGGGTGTGAGGAGCTTTCTAGGCTATGTGAGATTCTATCTCCGCTTGATCAAAAATATCTCCAAAATAGTCAAGCCTTTTGTACTCTTCTTGAAAAAGATGTTGAATTTAAATTTGATGATTCTTGCTTGAAGGCATTTGAAGAGTTGAAGAAAAGACTAATGTCTGCACCTATCATGATCGCTCTTGATTGGACTTTGCCCTTTATTATGATATGTGATGCTAGTGACTTTGTTGTGGGTACTATGCTCAGTTAAAAGAAAGAAAAAGTGCTTTACCCAGTTTACTATGCTAGCAGAACACTTGATGATGCTCAAGAAAATTACACCACAACTGAGAAAGAACTACTTGTAGTGGTGTTTGCTTTTAGTAAGTTCATATCATACCTTGTGGCTGCTAAGGTGACAATTTACACTGACTATTCAGCTCTGAAGTGCTTGTTTAGTAAGAAGGAGTCCAAGGTAAGGTTAATTCGATGGGTCCTACTCTTACAAAAACTTAACTTAGAGATTGTTAACCATAAAGGTACTAAGAATCAAGTAGCAGACCATCTCTCTAGTAGACCATCCTTCTTTGTCAACTTAGTCAAAACAGAGGCCATTTGAGAAAACCCCTGAATGGACCTTCGATAGTAACCGGCTAACCCCAAGAAACTCCTTATCTCTATTACTGAGGTAAGTCTCTCATATTTTAGTACCGTATCGACCTTATGAGGATCCATAGATATACTGTTGGCGAATATCACATGACCGAGAAATTTCACTTCCCGAAGCCAAAATTCACACTTACTTAATTTTGCATATAGCTTATGCTCTTTCAACACTTACAACACAATTCTCAAATGCTTAGCATGTTCTTCTTCATCGTTGGAGTAGACCAGGATATCATCAATGAACACAACTATGAATTTATCCAAGTAGGGTCTAAAAATCATGTTCATATAATCCATGAAAATCATTGGCGCATTTGCCAATCCAAAAGGCATCACTAAGAATTCGTAATGCCTGTATCTCGTCCTGAAAGTAGTTTTGGGTATGTCCTTGGACTTTACCGTCAGCTAATGGTAACCAGACCTCAAGTCGATCTTGGAAAACACGGCTGCTCTGACAAGCTAGTCAATCAAATCATCTATCCGGGGCAGTAGGTATTTGTTCTTGATTGTAACCTTATTCAACTGTCGGTAATCAATACACAACCTTAAGCTTTCATCCTTTTTCTTTACAAATAGTACAGGCGAAGCCCAGGGGGATACACTTGGCTTAATGAATCCTTTCCCCAGCAGTTCCTCCAATTACTTCTTCAATTCTTCTAGTTCAGATGGAACTATACAATATGGAGCCTTAAAGATGGGTTTAGTTCTCAGCACCAGGTTAATATAGAACTCAATCTCCCTTTCTAGTGGTAAGCCAGACATCTCATCAGTAAATACTTCTGGAAATGCATTTGCAACTCCAATCTCGTCAAGAGTACCTTCATATACTCCATAGGCTAATAAACTAAAAATATCTAACACCTTTCATGGTCCAACGTCTTAATTTGCATGGCAAACAGATATATGGGTATCTCAAGGTTTACTACTGATATAATGTCCTCAGGGACTTTAAACACTGGTAGGGAAACTGTCTTCTTTTCACAATCTAGTATCGCTCCGTTAGCCGACAACCAATCCATCCCAACAATCACATCAATCCCCGACTTGGGCAAACAAACCAAATCAATCAGTGTAATTCTATTACCAAATCTCATTTTAAATTTCAAACACGCACGGCTAGTTTTCATAGAAGCTCCAGCTGGTATAGACACATTCATCAACACAAGCAACTCAATCACAAGTAACTTTAAATTTTCTACACACTCATTAGAAATAAAAGAGTGAGTAGCACCCGAGTCAAACAAAGCAAAAATCTCAGTATCACAGAGAGAAATAGTACCTCTAATAAGCTCTAGAGAAGCTTCAGCTTCTTCCTTGGACATGGCAAAGACATAACCAAGAATAGCAAATTGCTGGTCATATGCACTAGCATGGTTAGGGCAATATCACGCTATGTGGCCTACCTTATTACATTTAAAGCATGTCCAGCACTCCCCTTGTGATACTTCCCACACTTGTTGCATTGTGGAGCTCTCATAGGTCCAATAATAGTAAGGGCAGAATCCTGCCTCGAAGTCTGGTTCTGACCTCCCATACTTCTGGGTAAATTGTTCTTAGATTGGGATTCCTTGGATTGAGACCCCTTTTAAAAATGATTCCTAGCACCCCCAGTACTAAACCCTCGGAATGATCTCGAACCAAAACTAGTATTCTTGCTCACACCACCAGTGGGACCCATGAATGAAGAGAAATGATCCTGACTGTCTCGCTTCTTATTATCTACTAATATGCTTCTACTAGCAATGGCCTGAAACTTATTGCACATTACCTCAAAGGAAGTCTTCTCAAAGGCTACCAATTGCCTACTATACCCAAGCCGCATCTTGTCTAAGAATTGCTTGGCCTTTCACTCTTTATCATCGTGATGTCTCAAATAGGTCAAATACTTCAACAATTCATTGAACTTGGCAATGAACTCCTCTCCGTTCATATTACCTTGCTGTAAGTGATGAAACTCAGATTCCTTCTTACTCAGAAGGTAGATGGGAAATAATGAGTAAAGAATCTCCTCTTGAATTCCTTCCATGTAAGTAAAGAGCCATTAGCTGGCCATGTACTCTCCCAATATTGTTTGGTGGCATCATCTAGCATGAAAGTAGCTAAGAGTACCCGCTGCTCTATAATGCAGGTCATCACGGAGAATATAGTCTCTAACCGATCTATCCACTTCTCATCGACTCTATCCTCCATAGAACTATTAAAGTGAGGAGGATTCAACCTTGTGAATCTCTTGACTGTAGTCAATAAAACCCTCATGTTCCTTCTCAGTCGGCCTTATAGAACATATTGGCCACTTCAGTGCACTCTCCTCATAGTATTCCTCATCTTCGTGCCCTTGTACCTCTTCCAACATCTTAACTCTTTTTTTCTTCTCAGGGTTACCTCATATTTTCTCAATCATACCACTGCACCCTTCTTCAGGCTTTTTCTCAAGAATCTTATCATGATCATCCAATCTCTTCTCAATTCTTTCCATCATTTCTCTTAACTCGAGCAACATGTTATCCCTACCTGTGGAGCGTATGTGTTGTTCTTGGTTTCGTCCCATTTCTACTTGTTGTTCTTCAATTGGGACTACTTCATTCTCCACTTCTAGCAAGACTTCTTGCTCTTGTCTCAATAAGTTTACCAGAACATTGTCGGCGGTGTGTCTCATTCGCACCATTTTCCCTCCTAAGGATGGAAGTCACCACACAAAAGGAAAGGATCAGTACTAGCTCAAGAGAGGAAAACAATATGTGTACAATGACAATAGCCAACTCTAAATGCAAATGCACAATTAAGAATGACTACACAATATAATCCACAAACCAGTACTCATAACCAGAGAAACTGATACCAAGTTGTAATATCCTCCTCCTTCTAAATCCCATAATTAAATTCAAGTCCCATTCCATTTAGGAAAATGAGACAATAGTAATCATCAAATATAAAAATCTTAATGGTTAACAAAACGGGGACCCCAAGTTTATAAAACTAAAATCATTTCAAGTCTTACAAAGAGACAAATCAAAATTCGTAAATATACGAAAGCAAGGAATCATCTCATAAGTGAGTACATTGGTGTAAGAATTTAAAACAAGAAAAAATCTAAAAAATTTTAAGGCGTGCGCCGCGGCTCATGACACCATGTGTCACGGCACAAATGCATGAATTTTGACAGTGAATTCTGCTGTCAATTTGACAGCATTAGGGCCAACTTTCGACGTGCCCCAAATCACCGTCCGATGTCCGAATGACGTGAACTAGGTGTCTATAGAAAGCTCTTTCCGAACTCTACTAATGGCATTGGTCTCAGACTCAAATTATTTTTAAACAAAAATTGGATACCCTTTTCAAAACTAACACCTTTACAATAAATTTCACAAATTTCAAGTGTCTAAACAAAATACCAAGAACCATAAGCTACCAACAATAATATGACCACATATAAATCATTAAAATCAACTCGTGCAATACACCATAACACAAGAAATAATTCAAGATGAAATTTTTACTACTCAATCCCTTAGACCCAAAAATATAAGAAGGGGGAGTTTACCATAAAGTTTTATCAAGATTTCCTAGATCATCACATAATATTTACTACCCTCACTTGCATTAGTATTTTGGCCCTATCATCAACACATAATAATCAATTCTCTCCCTAGGGCCTAAAATACCATTACAATTTACATTTCACTTAATGCAAGTAACAAAAAGGAAAATCCTAGTTAGCAATCAAAATTGTCATACACATAAGTTACCTAAAAAAAAGGAGGCCTATTACAAATGGATCTCGATCCTATGCCTCGGGGTATTTTTCTTTGTCCATATTTTTTAAGCTATTCCTTGTAATATTGAAAATAATGGGGTGAGTACAACTACTCAATAACTAAGGTCCGACTAGCCCATACCAATGCATATCAATTAGTTTAAAGGTAAGTGGCAATTAATATTAATATTTTAACCCATGTGAGATATTGGAAATTAGATATCCACAATTTGACTCACATAATAGTATTGACTTGGAAAACAATGCTTTTGGCACCTTTCATATAAATAGAGTTGATCATACAAATCATTGACAAGTATAATGGCAGAAATTAATACTCAACTCAAAATGTCATCATTATGGACTCAATATAAACAACAAGTGACTTTACTCATTTTATGCATGATCACACTTCCCTTATATCCTCCTTATTCCTCTGACACGAAACTGTGGGCTATAGCTCAATAGGATTGTCTATAATCCTTGACTTCCCTAGCTTAGACACTTATGAGGGGATTACCCAGCCAAGGCATACCTAACTCACTTATAGATCACGGTTTCCCCTATTTCTCACACCATGGGGTGTCATACACCTAAACTAGCTTCCTCATTGAACCGGTAGATAGCTAGCTAGGTTTGAGTCCCTCTTTGAACCAGAGAGACAATCCCTCGTTGAACTAGTGAGACAATATGGATAGAATTAATTTAGGCAATCCATCACATGGATGGGGCCTTACCACATGGATTTATCGTCTACTTCACTTCCTAGGTGAACTCCCACCTCTCAAGATCATGTAATGCACATTTATGCCATAATTCACACTTATACAATTCATAAAACTTCACACTATCAATTCTCATTGAACTTCATCATTACATAATCATTGGACTTCTCAAACACATTTCATGGAACTTCAAAACTAAACAAGTCATTGAACTCCTAATTCACAATCATGGTACCTCACACTTTTTAAAATCATTAAACTTTCCTATTTTCAAATATCATTAAACTTGTCTTAAACAAAGATTCATTTTACTTCCCAATTTACAAAATCATTGAACTCTTAATAAACATTAGTATGAAAATCTACTACTATTGTTCTTAAGGAAAAATTTTGCATCACAAGGCATAAAACTCACAAATTTGATCTAGTGGATTTCTTCACAAATTAAGCCACACTTGCATTTCTTTTTATTTTATACATTTCATTGATAAATCATAAATCAATAAATTAATAGACACACACAAGCATAAGATAGAATTCTCCCAGTTACCTCAAACCTTTAAGAAGTCAAAGGTTTCACCCCTCAACCATTCACTCACGTAGCTTCCAAAAAGCTTGAATGGTGCCAATATTAGTTACACTATAAGTATTTATCATGCAAAACATTAATATCCATTTTGAGCTATTTTTCACTAACATATTATCATTTCTCAATACTCAAGATTTATTCTAGACTCATGTAGAAGTACCCATAAGGCTTCTTAACTTCCTTTAACTCTTATTAATAATATTGGGCTCTTAAATAGGCATTAATGAAGCCACATTATTCCTAACCATCAAATTTATGGGAATTTTGGACATTTAATGTCCTCTAACCATCAATCATCATAAAATCATAAATATCAAGTTTACTTAGCTTAATCTACTTCTATTAACTCTATTTAAGTCAATGGGTTCAGGTCCATAACTTTCATGGACCAAAAATCACCATTAACAATCAAACCCTAACCTCTACCATCAAGAAAATGGAAGAAGAAAGGAAGATTTAAGTAAGGAAGCTTACCTTTGGTGTTTGTGAGCTCTAAATTACTCCTAATAATCAATTTTTTCAAGCCCTAGTTTAGCTTTTTCACCACTCTCTCATTTTCTTTTGTTTCCTCTTCTTTTTTCACTTTAGATTCGTGACTTAATACTGCAAAAATTTACCATGCACCGCGGCGGATGCACAATGCGTTGCGGCGGATGGCACAGAGAGCCTCTTCCAGGTGTGTTGTAATGCATGCATCATGGCGGACTAACCACAAGCTGTGGCACGTGGCACAGAATTACTCCCTTCAAAAATTTTTCCTTTTCTATTCCTGGGTGACCCAATCCTCCTTCGAGCCCACGTTTAGAACTAAAATTGAGACTAAACATGCCTATTAGGCCTCTTAGCCACAAACCTCATAGATACACTTTATTAGTTTACTTAAGTTTAATTTATCTGGATTTAAAATTGAGGATGTTACAGGTAACATCTCTAAAAGGAATGAAATGCCACTCCACAATATGCTTGAAGTTGAATTGTTTGACATACAGGGCATAAACTTTATGAGACCATTTCCTAAGTCTTTCAACAATCAATACATCCTTGTTGCTATAGATTATGTCTCAAAATAGGTTGAAGCAGTGACATTTCCCACCAATAATGCTAAAGGGGTGCTCAAGTTTTTGAAGAAGCATATTTTCACCTGCTTTGGAGCACCTAGGGCCATTGTGAATGATAGTGGTACTCATTTTTGCGATAACCAATTTCAATCTCTCTTGAAGAAATATGGTGTCAGGCACAAGGTTGAACTTGCCTACCATCCTCAAACTAATGGAAAAGCTAAGGTTTCTAATCGAGAAATTAAGAAGATACTTGAGAAGACTGTAGGAGTGACAAGAAAGGATTAGTCTACCAAACTTGATGATGCATTGTAGGCATATTGGCTTACAAAACTCCTATCAGCATGTCTCCATACCAGTTAGTGTTTAGGAAAGCATGTCATCTTCTTGTAGAGCTAGAATATGGTGCTTATTGAGCTATCCAAAAGCTCAACTTTGATTTTAAGGCCGTGGGTAAAAAGAGATTTCTCTAACTGAATGAACTTGATGAATTTTGATTCAATGCCTATGAGAATGCTAGGAAATGCAAGGAGAAAACAAAATGATGGCATAACAAAAAAATTCTATGTATAATGTTTGAGCCAAGCTAAAAAGTACTCTTGTATAACTTTAAATTAAGATTATTTCCTAGCAAACTCAAGTCTAGATGATCGGGACCGTTCACTGTGGTCCAAGTATTCCCTTATGGTGCTGTTCAGCTAGAGAGCATTGAAGGAGAAAGATTCAAAGTCAATGGACAACGATTGAAGCATTACTGGGGTGGTGAGTTAGACCGTGAAGCAGTCACCTTGCCCTTATTTGATAGCTCTTGAAAAAGAGAAGAGTCAGGCTGAATGACTATAAAACAAGAGATATTTGGGAGGCAACCCAAGCTCTAAACCTTATCTTTTGATTTTTCTTTTGTAATTTAGTTGTTTGGTAAAGTTATGTGTGATCTTGTGTCTTTTATAGGTTAACATGAACATATGAGGAAGCGTGAGCTTTTGGAGAAGTAAGAAATGTGGCAAAAGACAAAAGATTCCAAGAGAAGGGAAAATTTCAAGGAAGTCAAGCTATTTAAGCTGTTTTTATGCTTATAAACTTGTCTTGGCAATTATTTTGAGCTTATTAAAGTAAATGCAAATTTTTGTGGTTTGATTCTCATGAAAAATGGTTCTTTTTGGGGGTTGATGGATTTTAATTGAAGGAAATTGCTTATGTTTTATGAATGATGGTTAGAGATTGATTTTGGAGTGAATATAGTACCTGGGAGAGGTTTTAAGGGATGAACAAATTAGATTTTTGAAAATAGATTGCTATAAAATTTTGTTGTCAAAAAAGTTCTGACGAAAGTCGTGACTTTGGGTTCTCGACTTTAGATTTAAGCTTGATTTGAAAGTCACAACTTTGGGCCTATGAAAAAAAATTGTTTTTTTAAAATATCTATATATGTAATATTTATTATTATTATTTTCTTTTTCTCTTAAGTACTATGTTTATAAAAAAAATTCAAAAATAGATGGACTAAATTTGATTAGAATTCTCGTGTGTCTCTCCCCTGTCGCTCATCCCTCCCAATCTACCTCTCATCTTCCTCATTCCCATAATGCTCCATCTCTACCAGCAACCATCGGTCTAATCTCACTTTGCCTCTCATCTTCTCCATCTCCACTACTAACCGCCTTCGAATCTCCCTCCTTAATACCAGTGACCATCCTCCATCCATGCTCGGCACCTCCGCCATTGGTGACCATTTAACTTCAATCTCAATCACTCGCCCAAACCTTGAGTCCATGAGTCATAGCTTCACCCAAACCATAGCGCCTCAATCTCCATACTCCAAAAACCATCGCCAAGCTCTAACTCACTGTTCACCATAGCTCTATAGCCATCGCCTCTATCTTTACACTGAGCTCATTTAACCCCATGGAATTTCTCCCTTCAATCTCCATTGTCATTGTTGCCCCTGTCTCTGGATTGTTTGTCCACTCTAGCTGCCATTAGTTTTAAATCACTGAGCTATGATTATCATCATCACACCTTTATCGTTGAGCTTCAAGTCTTCCATATTTGTCATCTGCAACAACTATTTCCCTATCAAAATTGAGCTCTAGGTTTTGTTCTACCTGCTCACGGGTTCATAGTAAAAATAAGATAAAAAAATGTCCACCTTTCTCTTTGTTTTGGCTATTCTGCTCTGATCCTGTCGGTCTTATGGAAATATGAGGATGCTAAAATGTTGAACCATTATTTTCCTTTGATTTTGCTGCTAAAACTAAATGCAAATGTTTGAGGATTCTTTGTATTGTCATTTTGCTATTAGCTTTGTTGCCTTTTATCTAATTGTAATGCTCAAAATTTGACCCGTGATCTTAAAGCTTAGGTCCTGTACTTGGAGTACTCGAGGGATAATACTATTGGTTTATGGGTCTGGAAGTGTTCTTATTGCTGGTTAAATTCTTTTAATAGGATTGGATTGAATTTGCTCTGTTGGATATTTTTCATAATTGAATTGGACCTATTATCAAATTGCTAGTTAGGAATTTCAAATTGCTTGGGCATATTTTTGTTGATTTTTGTGCATTAATTTGGTAACAAATGTGCAATTGTGATACTGATCAGTTTTTACTTTAGGGGATATGGCACTAAATGTTGATAAAAGGACTTACACATGTGGCCAATTTTTTTTTATAGAACTCAAAGTGTTAAATAGCCACATCTTTAATAGTGCTGAAAAATGTTTTGATTGTTTTAAAATTTTAATTTGGCCTATTATTGTTTAAGCTTGAGGCATGAGATTGTGAATTTAGCTTGTTCTACCACGTTTTGTAGCTTCCATTATGCTTGAATCTTTATTGTATGGTTGCATGACATGAAGGGAGTTTGGACAATAATGGCATGTTCCGATTTGGATTCATGTTCTTTTCCTTCTTTTCATTCAAACTTAATCTTTTATCTTGTCATGTTTCCATTAGTTATTATTGCTTGTGTGTGCTGTATTGTTAATTGGCTTTGGGCAAGAGAAAAAGGTTCATGTTTCTAAAAAGACTAATACTGATGTTGGTCATGATTTAAAAGTTGCGAATCACATTGCTTCACTTATTATTATTTGAATCTTAGGCTTTAAGTTTTGTTTTTAGTTTTAACTGGCTAGTTAACTTCTTTTTGTTAAGCCTATGAATATGGTTGACCATACTCTGTTTACAAGTTTTGATTTTTGTGCCTCCCATGCAACTTCTTTTCAGTTGTGCCTCCCATACATGAGAAAGGACCCTTATTTTACCCTTTTAACAATAAGGACACTGTTCAATTTAAGTTTGAGGGTAACGGTATTATTTTAGCTGAATTGATATGAAATTCAATTTTGAAGCTTAGATATTTACTATTTCTTTTTTCTGAAATTTGAGCTAGATTGAGAAATTATTTGTTAAACTGAATATGTGATCTAATGATAGAATGTTGCTTAGACTGTATATTTTATAAGAAGTTGTGATCAATATTTTAGCATGCTTGATTTATAGTGTTAAGGCTTGTTTTTCAGCAATTGTGAAATTTTCTTTTGTACTTTTGAATCAAACAATGATTTGAATGCCTCTGTTAGAAAATTTTGTGGCAAGTTGATGTGCATTTTTTTTCAATTGAGAGACTCTAGAACCTATCTTGGAATCTCTTGAGGCATTTTAATCACTTCCCATGATATTGAAAAATGATTTAGGCATTCTTTCAAATATGTTTGAGCCTTTCAAGCTTACCTATTGCATTATTTCCATTTGGTCTCCTTTTGAGCCTTGAATTGAAAACCATATGAATTTTCTTTCTGAAACCCACATTAGACCCTAGCCTCTACAATTTGAAAAACCATAAACTACCTCACTCTTGATATTAGTGAAAAAAATGGTGTTAGTGGTGAAGATTGGTTTAGTTGTTAAGGAAGGTGGTGTTATTGTAAATTTGGGTATGCAGAATGGAAATAAAGTTTGGAATACTACTAATTGTGCTCCTAAAAAAATGTATACAAAAAAAAAGATATATGCATGAAAAAAAAGAAAAAAAATTATAGAGTTTCAATATCAATAAATTTAGAGTACAAGGAATGGTATTTAAGATAAGTTTGAGGGAAGTATTTGGCTAGTAAGGATGGAATGGTTGGTTTTTTATTGTCATTAATCTCAAATTCTTTGAATTCCATTTATCCTTTTCTTTCAATTAGCCTAAAACATTTGGCCACATTACAGGCTTACAAAATCCTATTGATTTTGGATTATGTGAAGCGATCTTTTAGTAGAGAGAGAGGAAGAGTTTAGGCATATGAAGTCTTGAGATTGAGCTTGCTTCATGCATGTTGAGTTGTTACATCTTGACTTGATAGTTGTAGGAGAATTATTTTCTGGTCTCACACACATATATTTCTAAATTGTTGGAAAGCATGATCTTAATTTGTGAATTCGATATCCCTTTATATTTTACTACTATCCTCTTTGATATACATCTTGAGCAACTAGTGAGGATATTTTCATGCATGCTTAATAGATAAATAATTGGTCAATCTAGCTAGTTTACTATTTGTTTTACTCAAGGATGAGTAAAAGTCTAAGTTTAAGGGTGTGTTAACCTCTAGAATTTCATGTAATTTCATCACATTTTCCTTAGACTCTAATCCATTTTGGCTCAAGTGTATATGCTTTTATTGCCAAAATTAGGAAAATGTGTATTTTGTTTTAGGTTTGTATTATTGGCTTTGATTTGATATTTTTGGCCTAATTTCATGTTATTTTAGTTGAAGATTTGATTAAAAGCATTTTGGAGCTTTGTGGATGTTTTTAGAAGGCTTTTGGATGAAAAAATCAAGCACAAAGTGAATAATTTTCATTAGCTGTAAAAACAGTGAAAAACTGCCAAAATCAGCCTAAAGTAGTGACTTTCATTTGTGACTTTTACCACTGTCAAAAAATGTTGCATTTTATTAAGTTTGAAATTGGTTGAGTAGGATACTTATATTCAGAGAGCTCGATCGAGAAGTGATTCTTCTCACTTGGGTGTGTTAGGGTTTGGACATTAGAAGTGCTTAAAGCAAGGGAATGAAGTTTTGTAGACATTTGGAGCTTCTTTTCTTTAGTTTTTCTATTCCTCTTCCCTTTCCTATCTTGTAATCTGAAATTGGTCTAATTATTTTGTATATTTGTAACTTGTGGATAATCATGAATAGTTAAACTCTTTGTTCTAGTATTATTTAGAACCCTTGTATGGATTAACGCTAAGTTCCTCCTCTCTTTTTGTGATAATGATGTGTGTGTGTGTGTGTGTGTGTGTGTGTATTTTACTCTTTCCTTAATGCTTCTAAGTGATTTGACACTATTTAGATGTTAGGTTCACTTAATTAATGCTTAAGAAGGCTAAGTTGAGTGTAGAACTTAGGTAAAATTGTGCAAGAACTTGATATTTGCATGTTGAATGGATAGTTTTACTAGTAAGATAGCGATATACTTACTAGCCTTGCATAGCCACATTAGGGTTGGTGTTTAAAATTGAGTTTTATTAATTGTAACAAGAGATATTTGACTAAACACTTGTTCATGACTTGAGAGAACTTGTCCAAGTATTTTTAGAATCTTAGGTTGGCACTTATTTTCATTAAAAGCATTTATAAGAGAAAGTAATTTTGGTGTTATGAGATGTAAAAGGGATAAATAATCCTAGGTCCTAATTTGTGTTTGAAGTTTGTGAATCAATTGCTTTTCTTTAATTTCTAGTGTTAATTTCATTTGCAAAATTATTTTTTACCTAACTATGTGTGGCTCAACTTGATTGAATTTACTTAGTCTTTTGTTTGATC